TGGAGTTGTGTTGGTGAGTGATGCTCATCAATGAACATCAGAACGAGACAAACAGACAGACAGACAGTGACACAGTGTTTGGCGAGTTGGGAGAGAGAAAGAGAAAAATGTCAATAAAGACAAGAGAGGAGGAGAGTTTTGACGAAGAAAAACATCTCAACAGGGTGCAGATAACCGAAAAAAATCTTAAATAAAGGGTGGGAAGAGCTCCATAAAGCTACTTCTTCAAAACTACTACTTTCGACTGAAACCAGCGTCTCCGAGGTTGTCGTAGTCACCGCCGCCGCCACCGCCACCGCCTCCAAGGTTGCCCAGATCTTGGCCGCCAAAGTCATTGCCGCCGCCGAGACCTACATTATTGGTCAAACGAAATCATCGCAAAAGTTGAAATCAAAACCTCAAACTCAAAGGGAAAAACCCAAAGCTAATCATCAAGTTTGCCTACCTCCAAGACCGCCGTCATTTCCGCCTCCCAGGTTGAAATTGTTCATACCGCCGCCATTGCCTCCTCCACCACCGAGGTTTCCCAGCTGGTCGAGGCCGCCGAAGCCGCCGCCTCCTCCTCCATTATTGCCGCCCATGCCTCCACGGTTCATGCCGCCGCCGTTCAGACCGGCGAGGCCATTGCCCAGACCGCCGCCGCCTAAATGGTCGAGAACATGGTTAATCCTATCAACAAAACTCTTATTATTAAACTCACCTCTCTGCTGATTACCACCACCGCCGAGGCCACCGAGCAGGCCACCGCCATTGTTGCCGCCGCCCAGACCGGTCAAACCGCCCAGCGCCTGTCCGAGACCGGCCAAGGGGTTGAGGCCACCGCCGCCACCGCCGAGAAGACCCGGAAGACCTCCTCCGCCTCCTCGACCACCACCTCCTCCTCCTCCGCCAAGAAGGTTGCCCAGTCCTGCAAGCGGATTCGCCGCCCCCGGATTCGCCATCTGCTGCTGTCGTCCAAAGCCGGCCAGATTCTGTCCGCCCAGTCCTGGGGCGCCGCCGCCTCCGCCGCCAAAGCCACCGCCGCCATTGCCGCCCCCAAGACCTGAGTTAGCATCAAGGGCACCGAGGTTATCGAGGTTATCGAGACCGTTCATATTCATAGTGTTGTCATTTGTGTTATCGTTCATGCCAAGATTACCCAGCCCCAAGTCGCCAAGTCCCAAGTTACCTAGGTTGCCGAGGCCGTCAAAGAGGCCGCCGCCACCACCGCCACCACCGCCTTGCGCCGCAATCTGTGAGACAGTGACAGCCAGTGCCAGCCCCAGGACAATGCACAGTCGACTAGAGTGACAATGCTAAAGATTGGGATGGATGAAAGGATTGATCAAAGGGTTAGAAGAAGGTTACTACTAAACAGTTTGGTAACCGGGTCACATCCTCCCTCACGAACCATGTTTAAAAATTTGGTGCTGGTGTACTGTGATTGTCAGCTATTTTTGAAGTGAAGAGGAGTAAATGAAGATACAACTTGGAAATGAGAAGAGAAGAGTCACTGAAGAATAAGTCACAAGAAGAAGAAAAAAGTCACAAAGTCAAAAATTGTGTGTTGAGAAAAAAATGGTGGTAAAAAAAACTTCCGTCAGCACGGAGTCATTTCACAAAGTGAACTGATGATGGTGTGCTGAACAGCACTTCTGACACCTCCTTCACAGTGAAAAGAAAAAGAAAAGTAAGTCAGCTTGAAGTCAGCTGAGTTTTTCCTGTTAAACTACTAAAAGTATATGAATATTACTGGTGCACAGACAGAGACAAGTACTGACTGACCGACTGCTGGTCACTGCTGTATGGCTTTATACGACCAACAGCAGTCAGGCTAATAGATCACCACCGCCAAAGTGCCGCAGGAGAAAGTGTGAGAGCGAGAGAGATTGGGAAAGTGAGTGAGAGTGAAAGTGAGTGAAATCACCTCCATCACATTTGCAAGAGTGGTAGTAGAAGAGTGGTGGTGGTAGTTCATTTACTTTTTCTTCATGGATGTGAAGGAAAACACCAGCTGAGCAGTGTTGGAGTTAAAGCTAAAAAGGAGGTAGTGGCAATGGTAGCAGTGAAGCGGCCATTTTGTGGCCTACAGCCAACCTGAGAAAAACTGCCTTACCGAAAGAAAGCAGCACACAATGGATGAAGTAGATCTAACAAAAACAAGAAAAAGAAAGAAAAGGACAGTCCCTAAAAAAGAAAGAAAGAGAAGAAGTAGGAGGAGGAGGACTGTCACTGTCGCAGCAGCAGGAACGGCAGCCATTTCTCCACCAGGCAAACGGAGGAACGAACNGCAATGGTAGCAGTGAAGCGGCCATTTTGTGGCCTACAGCCAACCTGAGAAAAACTGCCTTACCGAAAGAAAGCAGCACACAATGGATGAAGTAGATCTAACAAAAACAAGAAAAAGAAAGAAAAGGACAGTCCCTAAAGAAAGAAAGAAAGAGAAGAAGGAGGAGGAGGAGGAGGACTGTCACTGTCGCAGCAGCAGGAACGGCAGCCATTTCTCCACCAGGCAAACGGAGGAACGAACGGAAGAGGAAATCAGCAAGGCCATCAATGGCAACACCGACACAGCAGCGGCAGCAGCAGCGGTGGTTCGAGGCTTGATTCAAAAGGTAGATACAAACAGACAGAAAGCTGTCTCATTCCCAAGGGTTAAATGGGTCAAGAGGAGTGAAATCAGTGAAGCGGTGACCACCACCACCACCACCGCCACCACCGAACAATTAGCCAATTTCAGCAGCAACGGTGCAGTGCACTATGTTTAGCAACACACAGTGCACAGCTGCACACAATTGCTTCCACCGAGCACACATTACACTAATGTACACACAGACAATGTACAGCAACCACCACCTCTCTTGTAATGGGCGTGCAATGGAGAGTGTCTTTTGTTGTTGAACAGCAGCAGCAGCAGCACTACCGACAAAGGCCATGACTCACTCACNCAGTGCAGTGCACTATGTTTAGCAACACACAGCAGCACAATTGCTTCCACCGAGCACACATTACACTAATGTACACACAGACAATGTACAGCAACCACCACCTCTCTTGTAATGGGCGTGCAATGGAGAGTGTCTTTTGTTGTTGAACAGCAGCAGCAGCAGCACTACCGACAAAGGCCATGACTCACTCACTGAAGCTGACTAAGCTGACCACTGTCAAGAAAGTAAGAAAGAAAGACAGTGGTTGCAGCCAGCACNACAGCAGCAGCAGCAGCACTACCGACAAAGGCCATGACTCACTCACTGAAGCTGACTAAGCTGACCACTGTCAAGAAAGTAAGAAAGAAAGACAGTGGTTGCAGCCAGCACTTTCTCTTTCACTTCAGTGACACTCACTCTTACTACCTTGATTCGAGCGTCGAGAATTCTCGCTCTCAATCAGCCTGACTTCAATCATCAGCAGCAGCAGCAAAACTTTGCCGCACTGCCGTACACCTGAACACTTCGGCTCCGACGTGGACGTAAGCGGTGGAAGCGACGACAACGACGACGACAACGGCGATAACAGCACACGACACATGTGAAACACTTGACCAAAAATTGACATTATCACCAAAAATCATCATCTTCAACAAATAACACAGTGTTCAAAACCAAAAAGAAGAGCCCGGGTCGCCTCAATGTCCCTCTGACAGTGTTGTAGAAGTAGCAGCAGCAGCAGATTGCTCCGTCTTCAGTCTGCCTCATCTTCGCACAGATTTATCAATACAGAGCTCAAACAGATAAAGCAACATCATGTTCAACCACTGCATTCAACCACTTCTTCCAATTCTACTTCTGCTTCTAGTGCAGCAGCAGCAGCCATGGCTGACCACTGCAGCCCCAACAGCAACAGCAGCCTTAACGACTGTGACCACCACTAAACCACTTCTCTCAGCTTCTCCCACTGACCAAAAAGCGTCTTCGAGTGAAGAGGACGGCAGCACCGCCGCTGAAAAAGCCCCGGTGGCGGCAGCCCCTGCCACCACCGCCGGAAACGGAAACGTCTACGGTGCTGACAACACTGCCACTACTGATCAAGCAGGAGGCGCCAAGCCTCGAGGCTACAACCAGGGCTACTCCTACAACACCGGCATCAAACCGTACCGAACGGGATACACCTACTTTCAGCC